TTTTTTTTTTAATTTTGCGTAATAAACCGTTCAATCGGCTCCCGCTGCGAAAGCTGCCGGAACAAAAAGTGAATCTTTCAGTTCATCTGGATTCGTTTCCCCTATTTCACCTGGCTGCTTCCCCTTGCCCCACACCCGTCTGCGAGAGGAGGAGGAGGAGGAGGAGGAGGAGGAGGAGGCTGAAGGAAGCGCTGCGCTGGCCACGGGGAGCTGCAGCGGTCCCGGCTTCACCAGGGCAAAGCCGTCGACGGGCGGACAGGGATTCCGCTCCGCTTGTGCCCCCTGCGCCCGTCCTTTGGCATCACCTCCATCATCTTGCGGTTTTGCTGCCCGGCAGCGGAAATACATCATTTATACATCCTTTTCCAAGGGAAAAGAGAACAAGTGGTGGGTCGGGAATGGCCACTGCCCCATCCCGGCCCACTGAGCGTAGCGCCAGGGCTGGGCATTTGCCAGGGGCTGCGATTCCTGCGGTGCTGCCTCCTCCGGCCGCTCGTCCTGGCGCCTGGGATGCCTGCAACAAATTACGGTAGGGACAAAGCATGGTGAACTGCTCCGAATGTGGAAAAAGGCTTATTATTATTATTATTATTATTATTATTATTATTATTTAAGGATTACACCTGAGGGTGGCCAATAGATAAATCAGGTTGTAGTTAGAGATCAGTACTCCACGAGCAGAGAACCCCTGCGTGCTGCCTTGGCCCCGGGGGCCTGAATGGTTTCGGTTCACCAAAGACCTGACATGCTGTATTTTACAGTCCTGTACGTATAGATCTCTATGTGGACATAGATGGCTACTTATTTGTTCAGTTTTCTACTTGAGAACCTTCTGCTGCTTCTGCAAGGCGGCGCTTGAGCATCCCAGTTGCTCCGGTCCCACCAAAGCCTCCTTAATAGCAGCAGAGGGAGGGAAGGAGGCAATTAGGGGAGGGCTAATGATCCCCCTGCGCAAACATCTCAGCCAGAGCCTAATTGCAGGTGTCACCCTCTAATGAGCCCTCTGCTGTCCCCACGCCACCGTGGTGGGTCTGACAGTGGTGAGAAAACCACCCGTCGGACAATTGGGGTGTGGAGGTTTGTGGAGCTCTTGCTGTAGGACAAGGACCGAGTCCCAGGGGGAGCTGGGGCTGAGTTATTTTGGAGGCAGTAGTGGGATTTCTAGAGCTTAATGTTACTGAGATGAGTCTTCGTGCTAATTAACGAGCTAATAGCTGCCAATGATCAATTGCTGTCGCTATTGATGCCATTAATTCCACAGTGCATTTTTAATAATGAGGACACAGATTAATTAGCGTGAGGATTTCACGGCTCTTGCGCCAGTGCTTGGAGAAGGGAACAGCGAGGTGGCCGAAGCACTAAATTACTTTGGCATTCGTGGGCCTTTAAAGCAGCCGTCCCTTTTCCTGAACGTTATTTTGACCAAAGTAACCCTCCAACACCTCTTCCCCTCTAGCACCTTSCCAAGCCCTGCTTGGGAAGCGCACGCATCTCCGTTTTGGTGGTGGTCGCTCATGCCTGTGGTTGTTGATACCCACGGTTCTTTTATCCCGGGTTCTTCTAGTGATGAATATTTCCATGCATGCTTCCTCTTGACCAGTCTTATACATCGCAGCTCAGCAAACCTGATTTTTACCCACTGCTAGGGACATCGTAGTCCTTGCAGAGACCTTCACGTGCTGGTGGCTTGTGCCAGCCATCAATGCAGAGGATGCCCAGAAAGCCCCATTGCTCGTGGGGAGCTCTGCAGCCCATGTCAGGACTCCTCTCCAGAGCACAGATGGAAAACTCCTATGGAAAACTCCTGCTTTCTGCTGGGAAATGAAGGCAGGGGGGCTCACTCGCAGGAAGCCCGACCTGTGGCAGCATCAAAGGAATGGGTCAAGCGGAGAAATTCCTGAGCAGGGTGACGGCAGCTGCTCGTCTCTTCTCTGATCCCATTTTCCCGTGACTCAGGGATCCCGAGGCACGAACCATCTCTGGGATGTACAGACACTGCATATAGCGCCTAAACCTAGGCAACGGGAAGGATTTCTCTGGCACATGGGCATGTTTGCAAAGCCTTGCACGGCCCGTTGCCTCTGTGGTTTGCTCGCCAAGATCCACGCTCCTGACTGTGAGCAGAAGACCTAAGTGACGGTTCCACAAACGAATACCCCGACACCAAGCGTAACAAAAAACTGGTTTTATTGCAAGATCAAGGCTGGCTGGTCTCTTTTCTGCCTCGCGAACGTGCTGCTTCATTCTGACTAAAAGCCAGGTACCAAAGACGTGCACAGCGCTGAGCAGGAAATGTGGGGAGGAGAGTGACCCAGAAAGAGCGATGACTTCATGCTGCGGGATTCTGGTTGCCCCAGGCACTGCTGATGGGGAAACGCTGCTGGAGCTGCCGGGGGCCAACGCGCCTCTGAAACGGTGGGGGAAGAGGATGGCCCTGCACCACCAGCCACTCATGGAGACCCGCGGGCCGTCACGGATTGTAATCTGCTTCTCTGCCATTGCATCAGGAGAAGGTTTTCTCAACACGGTGAATTCCCCTAAGCTGAGCTCTTTCATTTCATTGTCTAAATGAAACTGCTGATGGTTCTTCTCTCCTGGCTCTGCACCAGGCGTTTCATCACCGCCGTTGCTTTCTTCTCCCCTTTGGTGTTGGTCTCAGAGAAGAGCTCCTGGAGCKTCTTGCAAGGGAGCAGGGCTGACGAGAAGCAGCGTGACAAAACCAAAGCAAACGCCTGGGAAGCAGCCAGGAGAAGCCCGTCGTGGGAGACGCCCAACTGGAAATTCAAGACACAGCGTTCCCGGGTGACGCACGGAGGACTCGGCGCGCTCGCCCATCCATCATCCGCCAGCGGAGCAGGCGTCTCCCGTTGGGCAGTGGCTTTCTCAATGGTTTTCATCCCAACGTCAGAGCCCGCAGTCTTGTCATTATGAGGGGAAAATATCTCCATGTTAATTTATTTATTAAGAAAGAGAAGGAAAAGAAGCTCATTTGCATGGCAAAGTCTGGAAGTCTGCAGATAAAGCAAATGGGAATTGCTTCAAGGAGAGGTTATTCCCAATTATTTTAAATATTTAATTATTCTGTCTTTCATGATTTTTAACCTCCTTTTATGATTTCGGGACGCTTTGGGGATTTATACTCGTTCACAGCACCGTGGAATCACTTCTAGGAAAAAAAAAAATCAATCCACTTTTAAGTAGCTTTCTAAAAATAGGGAGTTTCTTTTATCATTCAGACGGGGACTCTTCAGGGGACTCCAAACTGGTGGCAAGGAGGAAGGATAAACCTGGCTACAGCTTTTTATCTGAACACATCAAGAGAAGAAAACAGCCTCTGTGAGGGATATGGATTCCCAAGTAATCCAGCTGTTGGCCTCCCATGTGCCCATTGCCAAATGGCTTTAAGATACCATGGAGAGGGAAAAATTAACGGGTTGAAGACCAGAATGTCTAAAGTTGGCCTTTGCAGTGGCTAGATGATCCAGCAACCTGTGGTCTTCTGGAGGCACCTCTGTTGAGCCCGGGAATGGGACTTTCATGCAGCACCCTCAAAAATGTGGATATAAGTTGCGCTGCTGAACTGGTCCTTCCCGTCTTCCCGATCCCGTGTGAGGGTTGTCCAAGGCACCAATAACCTTCCTGCGGAGAAGATGAGCAATGAAGACAGCGATGGCAATTTCTGAGACCAGAAAGCACTGTTGATGGGCAATGGATTGAAAATGCTGCAGAAAAATAAAAGGGGTACAAGAAAAAAGACAGGGAATAAATGCATCTTGGTCACTGGTGGAAAGGGAGAGAAAATAATGGCTTAAACTGACTCCCAAAAGATTGAATTTGATAGCAGGATTATCACGGCCGTCGGGCTCTGGGAAAGGACGTGATGGAGGCTGACAGCCTCAAGCGGCCTCCCGCAGCGGTGGGAGGGCCTCTTTTGCCTCCAGCCTCGCTCCTGAYGCAGCTCGTTCCCGTTCCCCCGTGCCGGGCTGCTCTCGCGGCTGCCCTTGCCTGTGGTTGCCACACTCTGAGCTTGGGAAGGGTCAACCCCTCTTCCAGCGGGCTCCCTGGCCCCGCCAGTCCAGGCAATCAACCAAATCTACCAAATCTACCAAAAGAAATAAGCATCAGAAGAGTGTCCAGGTTGTGGGAACCCACATGAAGGTGCAAAGCTCTGTGAAACAGGATGATTGGTGGTGATAGGACTGGT